TTTGTAGTGTTTGAGTGAGAGTGTGTGTGTGTGTGAGAGAAGATGAATATGTGTGAGAGAGAGGGAGTGAGAGTGTGTGAGAGTGTGTGTGTGAGCGAGTGAGAGTGTGTGAGTGTGTGAGAGAGTGTGAGAGAGAGTGTGAGTGTGTGTGTGAGAGAGTGCGTGTGTGTGTGAGAGAGTGTGTGTGTGTGTGTGTGTATGTATGTATGTATATATATGTATGTATATATATATAGATATATATATATATATATATATATATATATATATATATATATATATATATATATATATATATATATATATATATATATATATATATATATATATATATATATATATATATATATATATATATATATATATATATATATATATATATATATATATATATATATACATATATATAATAAATGTAATTCACATTTAAATAATTATTACCTGTTAGTCTTGTACGTGCAATCCATCAGGATGACGTATGGAAATAACTGCAAAAGCTTTATTGAATCAGGGTGCGCAAACATAACGTCTTGCACTGCATCACCAGCTGGATTTGTTCGATGCCATTTGTTGTATCCACTCTCACTTAGTTCGTGCCACAGATGTTGTATAACTATTTTTCCTTTCATCTCCTCTCGTCTAATTTTCTGTGATTCATTATACACATCTCTCAAGGCCGCAGCCGTATCCGGATTCATCTGTCTCAGATGATGCAAAATTTCCTTCGGCTTCACATGGCTCTTTTTCAGTATCTTTGTCACTTCTCGTTGCTCTTCACTCAGGCGACTTAGCGAACGTAGTCCTTGTGGATATTTATGAGGAAAATGATTGTGATTGCCATTTTTTATGGTAAGGCGCCATAATCCATCACGACCCTCTTTACCCCATAGCGCAAAAGGGCATTTACACTTTATTGTACCGGACTTCCGGCTTGTTTTGACCTCTGCATTTTTTCCTCGACTCTTATAGGCTCTTTTACAAGTCAAATATTGTCGGCCCTCGTGGTAAGACTGTCGCCTAATCTCATGTCCTTGACTGATGGCCATATTCATCGCCCACTCGACTAGTGCATCTTTACTATCAAATGCAGTCGAAATTGTGAAAAATTCACTGAAATCATGTAGCTCGAATGTTTCAATATCTTCATTCACATCTATGTATACTTCCTGTTTTTATATTAATGTAGTTAGCAAATTATAAAACTAAAGAACAAAACTCAAAAAAAAAAAAAAAAAAAATTTGTGTTGCTCGTGTGATTTCACACGAACAGATCCTCCTGTGTTAGTTTTATTGCATAGAACCCCCCTATGTTTTGTTTTTTCTCATGAAAATCCAGATTATGGAAATATTCTCATGTTTAGTTTGTATTGTGCAAATAATTCTTGTCACGTGCAAAATTTTTATGATGGTTTGTAAAATAAAGAAGGGTCTCGATTTATGAAAGAGGTTCGATATATTATTTCGACTGTACCGACTATGATATATTCTGACTTGAGTTTTTTGGTAAAATGCATTAGAAAAATAAACATTTGTATAATCGTTGTGCTTGGACTTGTTAGAGTCCGATGTTTATAGACAAAAACTCGTGCTGAAAAAGACTGATTTATTTTATGAATGACAAGTTTGGTGAGTTGTATATGTTTTGCAGTTTTTAGTTTATGTTAAATGTAATTATTTTTCCATGCGAAAGTTGAAGAGATTTCTAATACTATGACAAATGTCGTGGTCTTGACATTAAAACATGAAGAGATTTATTGGCTGGAAAAAGGCGATCAAAATACGAAATTGTCGTGATCATTTCTTTCGTAAATATTGGGAAATTGTAGGTCCGTCGGTTACATTGATTCACAAAAAATTATGTGATTCTAATTCCCTTCATACCTATATAAACGAAACCAGGACTGTCTTGATTCCAAGAAAGAAACAACAACCCTTATTACAAGGTAAATCCCGTGCTTGGGGTCCGTTTTAATGGATCGACTATGTTTGTAGTGAATATAGATGAACCATCCATGAACATATTCCCATGGAATATTGACAAACAATCGAATCCTATTAGTGTTAAGCAGTCGTTTACGGGAAAAAGGTATTTCAGATGGTTATTGTTTCAGATATTCCAGTTCTAAACCTGGTTCGCTTTTTGTTCTCGAGAATGGATTGCTCGTTTTTGTATGGGATGAGTCAAGGGAAGTGTTGACTTTGCAGAGGCTCGATTTTGGAAACGCGCTATTTTTTCTAAGGTATATGTACTCTCTTTTGTTTTTTCTCATCGTATCTCGTGATTTTTATAAACAAGTATTGTTTGACATACTTTGTAATTCTTTATGGTATTCACAGGGATCAACTTTAGAAGAAAAAAAAAATCAAATAAGACTGCATATGCAGGTGTTTGTTTGATTCCTTTTTTTTTTTTTTTTTTTTTCTGTTGCTGCCAAACGAAGAACCGTGTCGTAGATGAAAGAGGTTCGATATATTCTTTCAACTGCACTGACTATAATAATATGCTGACCGAGTTTTGGTAAAAATGCATTAGAAAAGAAACATTTGTATAACCATTGTGTTTGGACTTGTTAAAGAAGTTTGGTGAGTAGTATATTTTTTGCAGTTTTTGGTTTTTGTTAAATATATATGATTTTTTGCAGATATTTGGTTTTTGGTTTTTGGTATTTGAGGGATGATAAGTTTGGTGAGTACTGAGTATATTTAGTGTTATTAATAAGGGTGTTGATATTAGGCCTTCATAGTATTTGATATATATTATATATCAAATAACATAATATACTTTAACAAAGATGAAGAAGAATATAGGATTTAAGAGTTTTGGGTTTGAGGGAGAAGAAGAGAGTTTTTTCTTTCTTTGATATTGAAATGATGAAAATAAAAATTGTTCGTGTAAACTGTATTTTGTTTGATGAGGCGTATTTTAGTACTTTGCCAATAGAAAAATTATTGGTGGTAGTAATCTAAGAAAAAAAATGTAAAAACTTTTATAAAATATAGTATTGAACTTGGAGGTATTGAAGCGAAAATGCTATTTGCGGTCATAAAATTGCTATTCGCGGTTTACGCGTTTTGGGGGGTGTTTTTGGATTTTTTTGGAAAGTTTTGGGGTTTTAGTGAAATAAAGTGTTTTTTTAGGGGGTTTTGTTAAAAACCGCAAATAGCAATTTTCAAACCGCAAAAAGCAATTCCCGTATTGAAGTGAGGAAAAAATAGTATTATGTTTAGTTGCCCCCATATATAATATGTATTGTACTATATATTTTTTATATTTTCAAGTTCTTA